CAACGGGGGTCGCACGGGGCCCGGCGCAGGTCAGTGGACCGTGGTCGCGCGGACGCCCAGCCTCAGAGCCACCCTTCCTTCTGTCCAGTAGCTCACACCACAGAACACCCGAGCAACGCACACACTTGACTTCGCAGTGAAAATGAAGCTGTGTGATGACGTGTGACAAAAACAGACACTTACTGCCGTAGGGAGAGTTAGCGGAGGAGCCATTAAGGAATCCAGGCGAGCCCGGGACCCCTAGGTTGGCCATGGCGCCACTTCCATATCCGTTCATGCTAGTGCTGACTGTGCTGTAATTGGACTGCTGGGGGGTGCTGCTGGGGACGTAGCCTCGCGGGGACACGCTGCTTGTATTGCGACTGTAGCCGACTGTTAAAATCCCACCCCCCCGGCCAAAAATAACGTTATTATCAGGGAGAGACACTTGGGGGGGGGGTTCCCCGCAAATCTGTATCATACACATTTCTGAACAACCTTGGCTTTGCTCAGCCCTCGCGCCCAAGCGGCTGGGGGAGCCTCGTCAGGCCAACCCCTGCGCGTGTCACCGCCAGGCCCGTCCTGGGCCCGCAGCTGCGACGGCCACCAAAGCGCACTTCGGTCTGACCGTCAGCTGCCGCCACGTCTCTCTCTAGACGCGACTAGCGGCAGCTTGGCTTGTCGGCCAGCCCCCCGCTACGTGGACTGCCGGCCTCTGCTCTCCTTCAGATGCCACTGCTGGCAGGGACAGCTCACGTGCGACCGCAGCGCCCACGAAGGGCTGTCTGGGGCCTTCGTCGTTGTGGCCGTGTTTGTGAGTAGGGGGTCGGGGGGGCGCAGAGCAGTGGCTTCATGCCATGGGGGGCGGGCGAACGGGAGGACAGCCCGCTGTCGCAGTGTCCCGGGAGACTGGAAGCAGACTCAGGACTGGCTGGGACAGCGATGGCCGCCCGGGGCGCCGCGCTATGGGGCAGATGCAGGGCAGGCAAGCGGGAGTCCCCTCCCGTTTATTCACTCCCGACTGGGACGCCAGACCCCAGTCACGCGACAACCCAGGGTGGGGGTCCCACTGCTCGCTACGTCACAGCTCCCCTGGGGCTGGCCCCAGCCTCTTGAGGAACACCAAGTCGCTCACGCGCGCATTCCAGGTAAACCGCGCAGCAGCCGGCGTAACCGCTGCCTCGGTCAGGGTTCTCTGAGCGCGCCCCACACGGGGCCCTGAGGCTGTCCACACCCCGCCGGCCTCAGGGCAGCCAGCTGCAGCGGAGCCCCGGCCGCCCATGCAGGGTGTCGCGGAGGGGCCGCCCACCTTGGTCGTTGGCTTGCGAGGTCTCGGAGACGTTCACGGCGAGCTGGCTGCTGAAGGAGTTCACGCCCATCATGCCGCTGTGGGCGGGCGTGCTGCCCAGCGCGGGGATCTGGTTGTGGTTGCGGGGGACACTGTACAGCGCCTCGGCGATGTCCGCCGCCCGCTTCAGGATGATCTCCTGGAGCAGGAGGGGCCCGTCACCAGCGGCCAGGGTCGGCCGGCGCCCCCCGCCCTGACCGCCGTGCCCCCCGCGGCAAATAGGAGGAGCAGGGCACGGTCCCGGGGTCCAGACCGTGAGAAAATGCGCTTTTCAACGGGAAAGAACGCCCCTCGGGAAGATAATTAAAGGCGCACCCTTCTGCACGGCTGTCAAATGCCCGGCGGGGTCCGGGCACAGAGGACGGTGCTGGATCCAGAGAGAAACGGGCCCACGTGCAGGGGGCCGGCCCTCGCGTCCCTGCGCCCCAGCGGCCCAGGCGGGGTGGGGACGGCTGT